GAGATGAGACCATTGTCTTCTCTTCTTGACCTTCTAATGAGAAGGTCATAGTCATATAATCTTTCAATACCAAATTGTTATACTTCTAGTTTTTAATATTATTTTAGAAGGTAATAATATTAAAGGCTGATTCGAAAATAAAAAAAAAGTATTTTAATAATTTTATTAATATCCTAACCGTACACGTATTCAATACCGTGATCACGGTACTAATCACACTAATACCGGTATTGAAAAAAACCGGTATTTGAAAGCGCTAGTGCGTGCTCCGCACAGAGGACAGTTATAAAACTTATCTGTACAGGCTAGTTTGTCATTAGTGTCAAATTTTGTTTTTCCTGTTTATAAGCTACTACGGCCCGCCCTCGCTTCTCGGTGTAGAGCTGAAGTGTAGACTACAGTTTTTGTTCTCAGGCTTGTATTACACACAATGACATTCATCTATGATTCTTCTTATACCTGCATGCAAAGTCTCAGCCCGATCGGTTTAAAATTGACAAAGTTTCATACAAAGTTTCATTCCCTATTTTATCCCCTTCGGCGTAGAATTGATCAAAATCCTTTCTTATCGGATGCCTACGTCATAACATCTACCTGCATGCCAAATTTCAGCCCGATCCGTCCAGTGGTTTGGGCTGTGCGTTGATAGATCACTATGTCAGTCAGTCACCTTTGAGTTTTATATAATATATAGATTACATCTTATCTTTAAAACAGATTATAACCTTACTTTTAGCGATTTTCATAGCAGTGGTTGGCAACCAGGCCTACATTAGGCTGTCAGTGGCGCACGCATGCGGGCGGCCGGCTGTCACAACGGCATTTTGCCGATTTCCAATATTATGCGCCTGCACACAGCACCGGTGGCACCGTGCTAATAATAGATTGCAGTTACAACGCAACTTTCTCTAGTATCGTAATCATATTAAGAGCGATTTTGTCAATGAGTTTAGAATTTATAAATTAGGATATATATATAACAAGAGGAGCTCGATGGCGCAAGTGGTTAGCGCGTTCGGCTCCGATCGTTGTACTTAAGCAACTTTCGCAGTGGTCGGTCATTGGATGGGTGACCAAAAATTTCTATCTCGAGCTCCTCCGTGCTTCGGTAGGCACGTTAAGCCGTTAGTACCCGCCAATCCGCAGTGGGCCCGCGTGGTGGGTCATGGCCCAATCTCCCTATTCCATCCATAGGGAAGGCCTGTGCCCCAGCAGTGGGAACATTAATAGGCTGATGATGATGATGATATAACAAATGAATTGTGTTGCTTATTTTGAATTTAAACAGGACATTAACTGTGTCTGACAATTATTGCTGCTAATATTTCCTTTAAATATCCTACTAACATTATAAAATGTGAAAGTTTGTATGTTTATAACTCAATCAAAAACGGCTGAACGAATTTGGATGAATTTTGGCACACACATAGTTCATTACCTGGATTGAGACAGGATACTTTTTATCCCGACAAAATGTTAGGTTACCGAGGGACAAGGTTATAAAGCGTTAATATTCTGACGACTTCGGTGGCCGAGTGGTTTGTACGCCGAGTTTCATGGTGTCACCTGCTCGAGAGGTCCCGGGTTCGAATCCCGGTGGAAGCAGATGTTTATGTGATGAATACAAGCATTTGTACTCCAGTCATGGATGTTTAATATGTTTTTCTATATAAATAGACTTATATTATGTTCAGTACATGTATTATATCCGTTACCCTAGTATCCCATTACACAAACCTTACAGTGCTTACTTTGGGGCTAGGCTAATTGGTGCGAGTGTTAGAAATATTTATAATATTAAAAACTAATGATCTTGCGAGCAATATAAGGTTCCCTTACCTCAAGTAATACAATAGAAATTCATATTTCTGAATAAAATTGTAGTTGAATTTTAATGTAAGGTTATATCCCCTACTTGGGGGGATGATCGCATGAAATGGAAGCTGTAAGGTCCTTATGGCCATAGGATTAAGGGTATGTTTTAGTTAGTAAGAGTCTGACATAACCCTGCAGCCCGCTCAAACTATGGATTTATAAGTATTTTTTCTCCTAAAAACAAGACATTATCATTTCATATCCTTCTCCTTTACATAGTATAAAGTCAATCCTGTTGTCTGTATGCTTAGATTTTTTAAACTATTCTCCGGATTCTAATGCCGTTCAGTAATAAATAGAATGATCAAGAGGAAGGTTTTTATCTATGAAGAATTCTAGAGAATAGAAAGTACAGTCTTCACCGAAGCTAAGCAAATACTCACAAACCTATAATTAATTCAAAAATCTTCAAATTAGAACCGATATGATTTCTTGTTACTATGGGGTATAGCCGTACTTCTAAAATACCAAAGCATCAATATCCTACAAATGTTATAAATGTGAAAGGTTATTTTTGTAACTTTATCATGCAAAAACTACTAAACCAATGAAGGATAATATCTCCAGCAGACCCTAGTCTATACTAATATTATAAAGAGGAAATATTTGTATGTAAGTATGTTTGTAACGAATTGATTTAAAAACTACTGGACCGATTTTAAAAATTCTTTCACCATTTGAATGCTACATTATCACTGACTAATATAGGCTTAAGTGTATTTTAAAAAGTTAGGGTTCCGTATGAAAACTTCGATAATGTAACCCAACATGTGTAAAAAATAGCCTTATATCGCATAAGCTGCGTAAGTCATTGACAATAGAGCAAAGTGATGTACTATAGTTTTATAGAGGATACCAATATCTACAAAAAAAAGTCTGCAATACCATACATCTAACTATTATTGTTATGTCACACTAAAGGTCCCCTGCCATTTCACCTGCGTTAATTTGAAGAAAAAGGTTTATAGTGAGTCAAACTTCAAATATGGACACAGGCTGTCGTGGACTTTTTCACATAACTTTTAAAGGGAAAGAATTCCGTCATACATGATTTTTCTGTAAATTTAACGATTACCCAACGCATGCAATGGAATCCCACAAATGGAATATTTTTACCCGTTTTTGCAACATTTTTCATTGATGCTCCGCTGCTACTGGTCGTAGCCTGGTAATATATAGCCTATAGCCTTCCTTGATAAATGCACTGTCCAATACAAAAAGATTTTTTCAAATCAGAACAGCAGAGCAATGTTGCATTCCGTACAACGGGTCCTAAACTGCACAATGAATTTTTTACTTAGAATGGAAGGTTTATAATTATTATGAAGAAACTCATTGTGTATATAATACAAGCCTTTGAACAAAACTATAGTCTACACAACAGCTCTACACCAAAGCAAAGCGAAGGCCAAAATACAGAGATCTTGATAAATGGATTAAGCAATGTTGCATTCAGTGATCATATTAAGGGATTGTTTAATGCCCAGTCCTGACACAAACATTTAATACATTAAGTTAATAAACAAGAAATTATGTAATAATTAATTATTTTGACTGTAACTGAAAATTTAAGAGAAAACAGGCCCAACATATTTACTGCTTAAATTGGATCACCGGATAACCTGTCTAGGGAAGTAAATCAAATAATGTATAACATAAACAGTAATAATAATACATGACAGATACAGATAAGGAACTATTTAAATCTTTTTTAAAGTATGCAGGAGATTCATCATGTCATTTTTCAATTTGACTTTATAAAAATATAAAAAAAAAATATATAAACAATTCTTTATTAAACTACAGTATTCATCTGATTTAAGTTTAAAGCTTACTTGCAGGAAATTTGATAAATCTTGATTCAACTAAAACTAGGTTTAATCCATAGTCATATTCAATTTGACAATATTGTATGGGCTATATCTAAATTCTAAAATCTTTAGATAAAATGAGATTTTTGCAAAATTGCTGCAAGTGGAGCTGAATTATATTTCAAATGTCCAATAGAAAGTAATAAGTACCTGAAAATTAAGTGTTTTAGGGGTTTATAATCCTTCCTTAAATCAATTGCCTTTGATTAAAAAAATTTTTTTAACAAAATTTTTATTTTGTACTTTTTATATTTTTTAAGCATTTAATTGCTAGAAGATTAATTAGAAATATTTTTTATTAGAAAAAAGTCCATGCAGACCAGGCAGCAGACGTGAGTCAAACCTGCCCCCTCTGCTATATATATATTATGCTATCATGGCCCTAACAGCTGTGTTGAAATTCTTCTAGTAATTATTAGGCTGCAAAGCAGTGCTATCTCTTCACATTGTAGGTATCCCACAACATCAAACATTATATTGGTTTTGTTAATAGGTAGCTACTTTTACTATTATTATACATTTCTATGTTAATGATTATTAAGTATGATTAAATTTTTTCAAAACATTTTAATATATGAATTAAATTGGTTTTTAAAAATCTTCAATATTTTTGTAATATTTGAAATGTTAGTTGGTTTGAAGATTTTCAATAATCGAAATAAAATTGTTTCATGTACTTACAAGTCAAATATGTACTAAGAAAAAGAAATTCTTTTCTTTTTCAATATGGTAAAATTCTATCATATTCATTCTGATTGTAAGGTTAGGCAATAAAAGCATTAATATATCTGGAATTTATAGATCAACAATTCTGTATGCATTACTCGAACATAAGCAACAGGATAGGTTTACTACACATAAGAAGGATTCCTTAAAATGTAACAACACTATTATTGTAATATCAACCACTGACAACAGTGATTCATATATTTTTCATTCCAGTTTTAATTGTGAGTTATTAGGTTTTGTTATGAGTTGTGTGTACTTCAATCATTACAATATTTGTTAAAACAACTACCATCAGTTTAGTAGGAACAGTTACATTTCTTTTGTAAGCAAACTATTACCAGTTTCCATAGACAGTGTGCAGCTAGTTTTAGACTATTTTTAGAATTACACAGAGTGAGCTAACGCAAAGAAAGCTATAACAGTATGTACTGCCAGCAAACATACAATTGAGAATGTGTAGTTGAATTCTCATGATACCATAGCCCAAATATTGTTCAACAAAATAACAAAGAAATAATTAATTACGTGCAAGATAAGCGCCCAGTGTCAATTTGTCAGGCGGTACTAGTAAGGGTAGACACATGCAGGTGTATCACTCGGTTTACCTCCGCCGAAGTCCATGGCACTTTTTAAAGAATGCGTCTCACGGACACTTAATGCGATCCATCCGCACGGGACAATATCAAAACGCACATATTATTAACTTCGTCATAACTGGTACATTGGCACTTCCTAGCTTCAGAATCTGCGTAAGGAACTTTCAAGACGCACTCCACACCACTGTTATGATAATACTAGTTATACGTATTAAATAACAACAACACACACGATCAACTCACAAATTGAAAACTTAACATACCTCCAAAGGCATGAACGATCCTATAATAATTGTCTCTCGGTCGTCCAAAGAACTAGTTATCAAGGTCTCGTGTCGATCGCAGCAAACGCGCTTCCAAGAAACGTACACAGGTTATGTTGCAAATAATAATGTTCAAATACTTTTAATTTGAACCCAGATTAGCACAACTGTCCATTAAAAAATCACCAATATTATTAAAAATGAATATTCCAACGGAAAGAATCCGAAGTTGCAATACTTCTCCGAGTGAATGTCAAAAATCGGATGATAATTCGTTTTTAGTGTGCGTGAAACCGAACAGCACACCTCTACGCACCGATGCTCATTGGCCACTGAGTTGTCACATGGGCTATGCTGCGAATTGTGACGTATACGGACACGGCGCATGCGCGCATCGAATTTAAAACTTTTTACATGAGAGTGAGTGAAACAAAACGTTGCTCCACTATTCCGGCTAAAATTAAACGCTAATCAGAATAGGGTTAAACTTGTTATCGCAGCTCAATTTTTGCTTGACCTAACCTGAATGAAATAACACTAGAAAGTATATGCAGAAATACTTATTATCTTCAGAGAAAAAACAACCACCCCAACTACATCGTTGACATTTTAATAGCGAACGTTTCGTTATTGCACTCGTTGAGATAATAAAGTGTAGTTGTAGTTTCAATCACATTTTCCTTATTTTTTATTATAACCAGAGAACTTTTACTAGTTTACTATACCTACCTGTTTTTGTGTTAAAATAAATAAAATAGTAGAAACAATAATAATTTCTTTTTCTTCCTATACGATGACTCAGAAAGGTTCGTAACGCTCTACGCGCCTTCAATATTTTAGATGCGTGGGTTGAACAGTATTAGTAGGCTTTCAGAATGAATATTATTTCAGGCGGGAATCCAGAGTATGAGTCATTTTGACGCACTGCTATCTTTAAACTAGCTTATAAACTCTTGTTTTGTCTGTCACATCACACCTAATTCAAATTCAAATTTTTTATTGCATATTATATAGAACATGTGACACCCTGCAAGGGTGTTTGCAATTTATTTATACATAAACGTATCGTATATTATGTGCCGTGTGTGTGCCGACCTAGAATAGCACCACCCCTCTCGTCCCATGGTCGTAAAAGGCGACTAAGAGAGCACAGCCAGCAGAAGACGGGCAGCAGCGTCTTGTTATAATATCTTGGCTGTACTGCGATCGCCAGCCCGCCTTCCAAGCGTGGCGATTATGGCAAAACCCCCCAAGAAATGAGATTGGACCGAAGATGAATTCTGCAAAGGAGCTAACGAAATATGTTCTACTGTCTACCCATAGACTTAATTTTTTAGTCTTGACTGGAATATCTACTATACGTCTCGTAGCAGACGGGTGCGGAGCACAAAACAAAAATTCCATTATGATGGGAATGTGCTCAACATGGCTGTTCAACGCTCCTGTACACATGAAATCCATTGAATTAGTTTTTTCAGTACCGGGACATTCATTTCTTCCCGCTGACCGAGTTTTTGGATCATCAAGACAGGCCCATCGGAATATGTGGAGATATTTGATAATTTTAGCACAGAGATTCATTTTGATATGGATCTGAACTGGAAGTCTGCTTGGCATTCGGTTTTCAAGCCCCCTGGAAGCTGGCATTTCCCATTTTCTGTGAGTAAGTGATTCTTTATAAAAAGAAGTTCTAATAATAAAATAACTATTAAAGGCGAAATAAACTACTTGTTAGAAATGGTTGACTACAAATCAGTCTTAAAAAGAGGACAAAGTTTTAGAGACGTTGTACCCGCACCTATCTCTAAAAACAAAGTGACGATTAATCAGGCTAAACTTGAAGATGTTAAGACATTATTAACAAAACATTTCGGTACAGAGTGGCAAACAAGAAGAGAGCTCCAATATTTTAAGGAAGTACTGGCTTCATAGAGGTATGCAAATGGTGGTGCTGATGCTGAAGATGGTGACGATGTTTGCGAGCCAAATCCACCCGAAATAGGGTTACAAATTTAACACTAAAACAAAACTTGTTAGTTTAATTTCACTACATAAAATTGTTATTTTTATTGCAAAATGCCCCATCATTTATCCATTTACCCTGTTGACAAAGTAACAAAATTACTGACTCTTAAGGTGCAAACCTGACATTGTCCAAGTCGTTGAGTTGCAAACATGACATAATCCACTGTGCAGAAGCAATTATACGCCGTTGTCCGTTGTAAATTTTTATTAATTTCAATATTGTTGCTACTTGTATCATCTCTTTGATTTTGTTAAAAAGTTTTGCTAGAGTCTAAACTTTCTTTATTTATAAACTTTTGAATTTTATTATTGGTTATTATAATACGCAGATAATAAAGTATGTTTTTCTCCATTACACAAAACTCGGACAGAGGCGTTTTTGCTTCTATACAACTCATATGCAGGATAAACAGCGTCGGCGACAGCACCGAACCTTGTGAAACTCCAGCATTTATAGTCAGTCATGGGTTCAGTGCAGCAGCCATCGATAACGACTTTAATGCTCTTTTGTCCAAGAAGCTGAATATCCGCTATGCAAGTGCAAAGTCCTTCAGGTAGCCCGTAAGATGGCAATTTCAATAAAATTGCTCTATGCAAGACCCTGTCAAAAGCCATAGCAATATCCAGGCTCACTGCAAGGGCCTCACCCTTCTCACGCAAAACAGGCGCCATAAGGACGTCGAGTTGCGGAAACGCCTGTAGCAAGAAGAAGAAGAAGAAGGGCCTCACCCTTGCTCTCGACGGCTTCAGCCGTGAGATAAACAAGATCAACTGTGACGGAAACCGTACTGTCGGTCGCTAATTAGCTAATGCTTTAACCTGGGGGTATCCGAAGATACTCTATGTATGTTCCGCGAATTTTCTTAGTTTTCGAGTTATATTTTTTTTGTGTATTTTTATTAATTCAGCCATCGAGGTTTCAAAAAATCATATCTTATTACGTAGTAGGTATGTTGCAGTCTTTTTGTGACATAATTTTCTTGAATGTTGTTTTAATAAAAAAAATAACCCAACTTCCTGAAATTACTTAAAGTTATTCAAAAAAGGCTTGAAAGTTGGAACTTTAGTTTTTAGTAGGATTTACTCAAACATTCAACTTCAATTCAAAAATACAAAAAAGAGTGTCCATAGCTTCTGACTAAGTGTAAAAGCTCCACGGGCTTCCAAACTACCAAAAGTCATTAAAAAAAATAGTACATAATCAGCCTATTTTTGTTGTAATTGGCCTTCGTAGGCGGATAGGCTAAAAATCATTGAAACACGACTCAAGCATTAAAAATTATTTTATCTACTTTTTATCATTGTTATGGTAACTTAAATATTTTGCAAATTTCTGTTTTCTAGATACATACGAATATATAAGATTACAAAGTTAAATTTGCACCTACAAAAATAAGAAAAGCTCATAAGATAGTGTCCTTTAAAAAAAAATAAGAAAAAAGTAGGACGATCTACAAAAATAAATAAGATGCCGACTTTTTGGCGGGATCGGGAAGAGTCGCTTTAGCAGTTTTGTTTTCTTGTTAAAAATTGTCTTGGCAGATGTTAGTGTCTAATAATGGTGGATTATTAACCACTAAGTGTTCGGAAACATGCACAAGTGTTGGCAAGTGAAACAAAATAGCGGAAAGTGTCTTTCGACGTTCCTTCAAGAAGTCCACGGGGAGGTTCCAGTAAATCCCCACACTTTTACTGAAACATAGGGAAAGAGGGTTTGACTTGACTGCCACTTACTTTGACTTGATTTATTACTTTGACGACGAGTGTTATAGTATTTGTAAACATTTTAACACTTGGCGTTGGCTAAATGCACAAACTGTGAGAAGCCATTTAGAAAAAAAAAACCTGTATAAAACCAAGTCTCGCAACTCATTTCTTCTACTACCGTAAAAAGTTGTGAGATCCATAAAATATAATTCCACGTCGGTTAATTTGTTTAGTCCCTACTTAAGCGACCTTCTATCTTTTAACTTGGTAATAGCTTACAGGGTAATAGATATCAATCTATTTATGCATATAAATAAATAGATTTATATACATGCAACCTTTGTTTTTATTATTAATTACGAGGGAGGTGTAGTGCCTGTACTTACTACTTATACCTTCCAAACTGATTAAGTAAGTATTTATGTACATGTATCTACGGAGCTAAAAATACACTTGTGGTATATGGTCCAACCTTCTAATAATAGCTAATATGTCCCTAGTATGAGTCATTTTTACACCCTCCCTCCATTTTGCAGTAATTCCGCCGCATGTCGCGCCGTGGCGCCACATTCGGGTTGCGTGTGGCGCCTCACTTTCCCGCCTTTTCAACAATAATTCTAAATTCAAAACGATATCAGTTCAGCTCCTTGCCTTGTCAAACAGTCTATTTAAATAGAATGAAAAAAGCTACATATAGGCCAGTCGTTTACAACAAAATAGTAGTCGTAGGTTACAACAAAATAAAAGCTTTTTAACAGAAAAATGAAACCGCCCAAAAGCAAGGATAATAATCGTTTTTATCTTTAGTCAAATTATATTTGGTTTCGTTGCCATGCCAACCTAAGTATTTAATGGGAACTCAGTCAGATCTATCAGAAATGCATATTAGGGTAGACTATACAATGATAGGCCCCTTAAGCGGAATTCTTAATTTGTTTGTCTATAGTAATTTAATTATAAGTTGTCTATTGAATGTAGTTACACAATGCTGTTATATAGGATTTGAGTGTCAAAATAAGAAGACTTTAAACAGCTCAATATTATTATGTATTAAAATATTAAAAAAGAAAAAAAGTTTGTAAATGTTTATTCATTGGCCCACAAGGTACAATGATTGGCAGTATTGGCATCCACGTATATCAGTGGTTGGCAGTCTGGATAATTTTAATTCTATTAAATTTACCTGAATATAAGCGCAGACGATGAACTTTTCCGTGGACGACGGAATTTTGACCAGTCGCTGAAAAAATGTCCACCGTAAATATTCTCAGATAACGTTGTGTTGTTATTAATATGAAGATTAAGAAAAAGGGAAGAAGTCTCACAAGGGAATACTGGGGCCATCTCTTTCAAGCAGATTGAGCGCACAACGCTGGTTAAAGTTCGCTGTGTGTGTTTCTGCACACTGCACATTTTTTTCGGGGACTCCCGTGTACTTTTATCTTCTAATGTGAAAAAACTGTCCTGTGGTAAAACCATTTTTTAGATGAATGGAAATTCCTTTGGGCACATTTTTGTTTATGCAGAAATTTAAAACCATAATTTCGTGTCTTTGTAATTAGGTAACCATTGATGAATCATAGTCCACTTCTAATCCAATCGCTTCCCTGATCAATCTTGGTATGTGGCGACGTTCTATTGAGATAATCTGTGGGTTATGGAACTCAAGATAGTCCAGTGATTTGGACCAAAATCAGTCATATTCCGCGATGACTGATTTCTGCGCACCTATCGTTGTTCTTGATTGCTTTTACGTGTTGACTCATTCGGCACGCTACTGTTCGCTTTGAAATCAGAAATCAATATATATTTATTGAAATTGGATGTATAGTACAACTCTTTTGAATTGGTCCAAAAAGTTTTTTTCGAGCGAGCGAGACAAAATTGTACGCTTCAACGCAGCGCGAGCGTTGTCCTTTTCTTGATGACAAAATGGCGATTACGTAAAAAACATTCACGACAAACCAATAATATGTTTGTACAGTTTTACGAATGAAAAGTATTGCCGAGGCATTTGTTAAATAATTTT